CTTCGCTTGTGTGTTAGAATTAATGGCTTGTGAAAGTAAACCACTTATTGTTTTGAAATTTTTTTTCCACATTCAGTAAGCATAATATGAAACAAAGTTACCTCTGGCAAAAAATTGGTTAAAGATTTCAAAGAAAAAAAAAAGAACAAGTTGATAATGCCGTTGTCGTGTATTTATGCAAAATTAAGTGGAAACTTTGATTATAACCAAAAAATCTTGTAATCTTTATAAAAATTTAACAGTATACAGCTCTTTGACTGAATTTGATTTATTTATTATTATAGATATGCACTTGTCCATCTAATGCCGAAATCATCAATGGGATTTGTCAGAGCATTAAGTTAGGTAAACAAAAGAAGTTTTGACTTTGTCTTGTTTCTATGCTTTAGTCAAGAAATAAGTGTTTTGTACAATGACGGAACCACTTGTTTATTGATCTAAATAAAAAAATTTTTGTAGGTAGACCTGGTGAAAGTTGTGACATTGATGACGACTGTACTGGAGGTTCCTTCTGTGTCAGAAATATCTGTAAATGTCTACCAGGCACGGTGGCTGCATCTGGAAACTGTGTATCTACTTACGGTGAACATATTTTCGATAGAACATTTTATATCTCTAAAATTTTTGTTTTTTGTTTCAAATATTTTTCAAAAATTTTATAAACGTCTACGACAGTTGTTTTAGAGTCAAAGATTTTGAATAAAATAAAAAGTTAACAAAAAAACTTTTGTAATCATCTTTACTTGCACCTCTGATATTAAGAAAACTTCAATGTTCTTAAGGAAATCTTGGACCTTGTTTAAAATCTGCAGATTGTACTGGTGGAAGTTTTTGTGACCGACATCAAGGTCTCTGCATTTGTCCAGGTATTTGTTGCTTAATTATAAAAAGAATTAATTTAATTATTGATATGAAATCACCTAAAGTATCTTATAAAACAGTCTCAAGGTTTTTCAATTGATCATTATGATTTAACAATACCTTGAAAACATTTCATGTTGGCGTTTTAGACAATCACATTATTATTGAGAATCGTTGCATGTCCAGTTATAAACTTCGAAGAACTGGATTAGTAGTTGCTGGATACTGCTCTAGTAACGAAGACTGTAAAGGTGGTTCTCGGTGTGTCAACAAAAGGTTGGTGAATTTTATCTTATGAAGTAAAAACGTGTTTTTGGATCGGTGACTAAACAAAGTTAAATCAAGTGGTAGAGAAATATTTTAAGATGTCGGTGTCCAAATGGCGAAATCCTCTACAGTGGAAGTTGTTCAACTACCACCGCTTTGCCAGGTGAATCTTGCGTAGACGGGGAGCAGTGCATTAGTAACTCCCGTTGTGTTGATGGAGTCTGTGTTTGCCCAACTGGAATGATGGTTATGGCTGGACACTGTGTAGAAAATCGCACTCAAAATAACGGTTTAGTGCCGCTAGTTTAAACATCATTGCATGATTGGCACTG